CCTACCTCCTAAACCAAAAATCTCCCCCCCCCCCCCCCCCCAAAAAAAACAAAAAAACCACACATGCGCCTGGCATGACTTTAAGCCACAGGGTCCGGGATTTGAACTGCAGCCGGCTACATGGGGGTTCAGTAACACAGCCATTACGCTAACTGCTGGTTCCAGAGTATTTTTCTTTACTTAGAAACTGGTATCTTCAATTTGGCAGCACTCTAAGCTGATCTAACTCATAAATAATGGAACCCTGCTCACAATTTTTTAGAATGCTGGGTGACGGACAGGGTGCAGCTATGAAACGTGATGCTCTGAGGCGGACCCACACAGGATGATCCTGGGTTCGTGTCTGGAGACCTCCCTGAGTACAATGGGCACAAGGGTACCCTGACTTGGGCTGGCTAGGAGCGGACCACAGCATCGAACTCTGCTGGAGGTGCTGTTCTCGCTCTCTTGCTCATAGAAAGAAAAAAATTCTTTAAGAATAACTGATTTTAATTTTACTTATTATGATTATTATTTTAAATTTGCTATAGGGCACATATGCTCACTGGAGAGAGAGAGGAAGAGAAAGAGAGAAAGCTAGTTGCCAAGTCTGGGACTTCAACTGTGGTTGGTCATGTGGGAGTATAACACCCCAAATACCATGCCACCTGCTAGCCCATGGAAGAAAAATTTTTAAAAGATTATATAATGTTTCATCTTCATTATGACACACTGAAGGTATGATGGAAATATATCTTTCGGGCCAGTTGGAGGCATAGTAGTTAAGGCAGCTGGATCCCACATGGCCAACTGCACGGTTTAAGACTCAGACCGGGCAGCTTGAAACACACGTGGATGCATGTGTGTGCGCACCCAGAATCCTAAAAGATAAATGCAGGAGAGAGGATTGTAGTGTGACCATGCCCTTTGGGGCGGTGTAGGCTGCTTTCTCATTTTCTCTTTCTCTGGCAAGTGCACCTGCCCTCTGGCTAAAAATAAATAAATAAATAAATAAGATACCTTTCACTTTAAGGAAAAGCTGTTCCTATAAAGCCAATCTTGAAGTACATCCTGCTAATTCTATTTCTACTAGTTCCACTTTTCCCATGGGGAAAAAGTTTCCAAAACCAGGCTGAAATTTTTGGTTCAAAAGAGATTAAGCTGATGCTTTGCTCCATGGCATGTGATTTTTTTTTTTTTTGGGGGGGGGAGTTTGTTAAAGGGTGCATGCGCTCGCCAGAAAGAGAGTAATCACCCCCCCCAGGGGGGATGGCCACACTGCAACCCCTTCTCCTCCATTCTCTTCTTGGGATCTTGGGCATGCACGCTCATGCGCCTGGCATGAGTTTAAGCTGCTGGGTCTGGGACTTGAACCGCGGTCGACTACATGGGAGTCCAGCGACACAGCCATTATGCTAACTGCTGGTCCCCTCCATGGCATGTTGCCAGTGCTAGTTTTACCTATTTACAGCTTCCCTCCTCAGCCCACTGTGTAACTTCTGGAGCGCTAGATTCTCTGAATGTGCAAACTAAATTAAGATTTTGAATATTAGCTCCTTTTCTCCTAATTTTTAGATGTTCATAAAATATTTCAATTGTTTGAAACAAAGAATACTTATACCTTGAAGAGCTTTAAAAAAATAGGTTAGTAATTAGACAAGAAAAACGAAGGTATATAGACCGGAAAGGAAAAAGTCCAACTACGACCTTACATTGAAATACTAAGGAACCCACTAAAAATTTACTATGATAAATAAGTCCAGGGCAGGCCCCATAATATAGGGGTTTAAGCATTCTGCTCAGAAAGCCAGACCTCACACAGTGGGCCGCAGTTATAATCTCAATCCTGGTGACTTGGAAAACACACTGGGCATGTAAGTGTGGGTGTCCAAAATCCTGACGGGATAAAGAAATGTAAGAAAAGGGAATGTGGAGTGACTATGCTTCCCCCTTGGGGGTACGCAGGTTTTCTCTTTCCGTGAGTGCATGAAACCTCTGACAACAACAAAATTAAAAAAAAAAAAAAAAGTGCCCCCCCCCAATCTCTCATTTTCTCTCTGGTGAGTGCATATGTCCTATAGCAAAACTAAATAAAATAAGTTAGTCCAGTGAAGTTGCAGAATACAAGATCAATATATAATACTAATTGTATTTAAAACCACATGTCCTTCCATTTACAATAACCACATCTACACCTTCCTTTACAATAATATATTTTTAAAAATCTCCTCTGGAGGAACATGAAGTAGATTTGCAATTACCTAGGACTGCGATGTGGGAAACAGGGACTGACTGCTAATGGGCATGCGCTGTTTTCGGGTGATCAAATGTTCTTAGACAGTGGTGGTGGTCACATAACTCTGAAACCAATAAACTGTATGGTTTCAAAGGATAAATATTATGTATGTGAGTACTTAACACAGTAAAATCATTTCCTTATGGGCAGACACTATATAAACACAGGCCCATCCCCCTTTAAAAATTTCTTTTGCTTCAGGGCATGTATGCGTGCGAGACAGACAGAGAGAGGGAAAGTGATAGCAAGACCTGCTTTTTAACTACTTACAATTCACTTTTTCAGTTTTATCAATTATTTATTGTACGCGATCGATTTAGCATGAGAACTAAGCTTTGTTTTAAAACTGTTCCTGCCAGTGTCTCTCTTCTGGCTAGATCTTTTTCAGTGAGTCTTCTTTCCTACTTGCGTAGTTTTAACTATTTATTTTAAATAGTTTTATTAAAATGTTTTTCAAAGATTTTCCCAAGGGGATGGTTACGTCAGAATCCCTTTCCCTCCAGTAGCATTTTGGAATTTGGAGCACACATGCACACATACCTGGTGTGATTTTTAAGCTGCTGGGTCTAGGACTAGAACCATGTAGCTGGTCACATGGGCTCCAGTGCCTTAACTTCCATGCCATCCACTGGTCCAAAACCCAGGTCCTTTTACGCCATCTCAAGATACTTTGTGAGGCCAAGATTACCCCCCTTCCTGCCCTCCCAATCAACATGGTAGTCCTTTGCTCTGTAATACCTAG